CGTCTGCCAGATATTAAGGCACGCCTCAACACGTTGATGGGCCAAACACAACAGGAGCTTGCAAGTTATGGGGATATGCACTTTAGCGGCAAGGAACATAGAGGATCGCTAGTTCTACAGCTGATGACGAGGTTTGCGTCGTCCTTCATCTCATCAATCGATGGTACTTCGACAGAGATATCAACAAAGGAGCTCTGTGGAGGCGCAAGGATATACTACATATTTAACGACGTTTTTGGTAATTCTCTGGAAACTATCGACCCTACAAGCAATCTCTCTGCGGTTGATATTCGAACAGCTATTAGAAACTCCACCGGACCTCGCCCTAGTCTTTTTGTACCCGAGCTTGCGTTTGATCTCTTGGTCAAGCCACAGATTAAATTATTAGAAGTGCCTAGCCAAAGATGTGTTGAGCTTGTTTATGAGGAGCTCATCAAGATTTGCCATACTTGCGGGTCAACAGAGTTGACTCGATTTCCTCGGTTACAAGCCAAACTCATCGAAGTGGTGTCAGATCTTCTTCGGGAAAGGCTTGGTCCAGCTTCCAGCTACGTGGAATCCCTCATTTCAATTCAACGAGCCTACATCAATACTAATCATCCAAATTTTCTCGGTGCTGCCGCAGCTATGAGCAATGTTGTGAGCAATAAGCAAGAAAAGGAGCGCAAGGCTCTTATCCAAGCAGAACGAGAGAAGCGCGAACGACGGCGACAGAAGGAGCTTGGTGAAACCAATGGTGCCAACACGCCGGAAGAAGACGAGGAAACTAATCTCGACAAGGTTGAGAATCTACCTCAACGAAAGAATGTGCACAAAGGCACAAGGAGTATGTCACCAGCAATTCGTCAGAATGGTACCAGTGGTATTATGTCCACGATGAATGGCGTGGGAAGGTCTGGCTCGCCACCAAGATTCAATGGTCAAGCTGCAGGTGGTGCGCGGGACTCGTTCCTGAACTACTTCTTTGGAAAGGAAGGTGGACTGCCTACGGGTGGAACTGGCCAGGCATTGCAGAATCCAAACCTTGGCAGACATGTGAGCCAAAGCCAGGAGCCTAGTTTCAGTCAGAGCATTCGGCGGCAAGATGAGCGAACTGTTCATAGGACGCCAGCCCAACAATCAAAAGAAGACGATTACGCTTTAGGCAAAGCGCAAAGAGATTACGATTACAATTCGCCTTTTGTAAGTTAGATTATATGTATGTGAAAGCAGCGGCTAATTCATAGGAACAGGGCGAAAGTCAAGAACCAGCTCTCACAGATCGTGAAGCGATGGAAACCGAACTCATTCGAGCACTTATCTCATCATACTTCAATATTGTAAGGGAGTCGATAGCCGATCAGGTACCCAAAGCTGTGATGCATCTTCTAGTCAACCATTCGAAAGACGCGGTACAGAATCGCCTGGTCAGTGAGCTCTACAAGGAGACAATGTTCGACGAGCTCTTGTACGAGGATGATGCAGTCAAGAAGGAACGGGAGAAGTGCGAGAAGCTGCTCAAGACCTACAAAGAAGCCGCAAAGATCGTTGGTGAGGTTGGAATATAGAATTGGGTATGGGGCCAAAGTGGATGATATGCATAGGTATGAACACGGAATGGATGCATCACTGGAGCAAAGGGGACGACGCGGGATGCTTTGTAGAATATTGTACCGGCGCTGTTGTATTTGTAAGGATTGTGTACGCTGTTCAACTCTACTATAGTGAGCCGACACCAAGCTGCAAGGCTCGAAAGAATACTTGTACAGAAAGAGACATCACTTAGTCTTGTTTGAAAATGAGACTAGTGTGGTGGAAAATGTCCGTTTTCATAAGCCAATCATGCCTTGCCGTCCATTTTCTATTCTGGTACTAGCGCCAGACATCTAAAAGCCGTGCGGGTGAAGATGGTCGGGTATGCGAAATGCATTATAATTTCTGCTTTCCCGGCCATACCTAATTCGGCATTTTTGTAATGATGCGGAATGGCTGACACTGGTCAACCCGAACGTTGTTTCGTCTAGAGACTAGCTAATTGGTACAAAATCTCCGTCACGGTTCACTAAGTTCAGCCTCGTCTAGGATAGCAACAAAAGGGAGTCCAGAACCCATGCAAGTGCATACCACATAATCAGCTTGCATAGGAGCCAAGCCCTATGGGACTAGTCCGCTATGAACATTTATACTGCAATGGGGCCTTGTGCTTTTTAGTTTCTTTCTTATTTCAACCACAGCGCAAGTGCTCTCTATACAGCTGTTTTTGAAGGTGGACTGGTATCCCGTGTAGAGGTCAGCATGTCCACCACCCCGACTACTACCAGCGGCATCACCCTCGGCGCAGAAAGTATCCATGGCCATCACCACCGTGGCAAGCGTCTCCGACACTTTTTTCTCCCCAACGGGCGGAAAGTACACATTGCGCTCTCCCCAGAAGAAGCCGATTCCCTACGCCAGCGCCTCGCAGTCGTCCCCCAAGATACGCCTTTCGACCTCGTGATCAGTGGTTCGCCCGAGCACTTATCCGCTCTGAAAGAAGCACATAGCCACCATGAGACCCGACGTCAGAGCCTCCGAGAAAAGCATGGCGAAGCGTATGACGAATTCGAGCACGTGCGTGCCGAGCTCGACGCGTTAGGGAGCGAGCTGCATATGCTAACTGACCATGCGGTGAGCTTGGATGCAAATTTTAGCAAGTATGGTTATAGCGCTCATCTGCGCACTTATGATGATCATTCAACTCCTGGGAGTAGTGCGGCGAGTTTGCATGGGGATGATGCGCATGAGAAGAAAGATTGGAGTGCAGAAAAGCGGAATGGAAAGATCATGAAGATTTACAAGAAGGTAAGTTAACATATGTATGCACTTTTGTGAGATCTGTTAAGCTAATTTCTGAAAGCCAACTGTGAGGCAATATTTCCATAAAGGACTCCTATGGAGAGCATCCGACCAAGCAGAGGTAGCTTCGTTCGAACTCTTCGTAGATCTCTTGTAAGTCCATTCATTTACACCTTCCGATCATAGTTCTCACAGCCTAAGATACGTTGGCATCCTCGCCATCAACGGAGACCATGCCTCTGAGGCCCCGGTTGGAAGCGAGCTCCTTCGCTTTAGTGTAACCTTTATCATGTCCTGGAAACTCTGGTCCGACCTCTCTCTGCTAGTTTCCTGGTTCGAGACCGACGACATCATCCAACGCGTCAGCATTCTCTTCATCATGGCATGTCTTTTCGGTTTAACTACCAATATGCTTGAGGCTTTTGAGCATACTTATTCCCAACTAGTAGCTTTCTTTCTTGCTGCGCGCCTCTTTATGGGTGGGTACTGTCTCGCGATGGCGAGTCTAGTACCCATGGTAAGAGGCATGATGATCGTGCAAGCTATCCTTGCGTTGGTACCTAGTATTCTCTGGATTGGTTCCATCTACGTGGAAATGCCTAACCGGCTCGCTATCATCTGGATGGCGATCTTCCTTGATCTGACGGGAGGTGTGTTTATTATAGCAATCATTAGAGGCGCAAAACGAATTTCGGCTCGTCTAGGGGTATGGTCAGACAAGATCTTCGAATTCTATCCCGCAGTTAACATAGAACATAAAACTGAGCGCACAAACGCTTTCGTGTCTCTCGTGTTTGGATACTCTGTAGTTGCAATTCTCTACCAAAATAGTTCATCTTTTGGGCTCAATGCATTCTTTGGGAAAGCGATACTTGGTTTACTACAAGCCTTTGTTTTCAACTGGATATATTTCGAACTCGACGGTGCCGATTTATACACGCACGCCATTAGACGAAGCGTGGTCTCCGGTACCTACTGCTCTCACTCTCACCCGCTGTTGCCAACTTGCTGACAAGAAAATAGCCGTCGTATGGGGTGCAATCCATCTCCCATTCATTATGTCCTATGTTCTCGGTGGCGCCGCCCTCTCAAGACTCGTCATGGCAACTGATTGTCCAGATGCCGACGAGCACGATCTAACACATTTCTACGCCGAAAAATCGGAGCACGAGATTCCCTCCGGCTTGCGCTGGTTCTACTGTGTGGGTTTTGGGCTTGCCTTGCTCATGATGGGTGTCATAAGCCTGACGCACGTACACAAGGAAGCTCCTGCTGGGGAGAGGATCAAGAAGAGATACAGGCTGGCTAACCGCGCTATCGTCTGCGTTATTTTGTTCTGTCTTCCAACTGCAGATAAGCTGAACAGTTTGCAACTGATCAGTGTTGTCACGGGACTGATTATCTGGGTTCTCCTGGTGGAGCTCTGGGGCATGAGTTGCAGGGATGACCGGTGGTTTGGGGAGAAGCGGCAGTGTAAATACACCGCCAAATGCGGAATTAGTAAGAAGGACTTGGAGAGTCATCTCAAGGATGGGACGACGATCAACGTCGAGAGGTTTAGTAATAAAGGAGAGAAAGGGATGTATGAGTTGAGCTGAACTCGTCTAGGCATCACGTAGTTAATGCCTATTGCTTACGATTCATCCATGAACTTGCCAGTATCTTGAGTTGACATATGGACGTGCTTATCACACTCTGACTAGGCCCCAAGAACGGGGTTCGCTAACTCCTCTCGGACTACCTGTACATTCGATAAATCTTCATTGGTTGGAGGCAGAATCCCCATAAATATAATTAACAACGTTGCGAAACGTAGAGCTGCAACCGGATTCGAGGGTTTGGGAACCTTGTCAAAGAAGATCTAAGAAACGTCCACAAGCTCGTGCGAGCATGCAGTCAATCCACAACATATCTTAAATAGGTGATTAGGAACGGAGTAAGGAAAGAGAATATCATAGAAAAAATATGGGTATGCCATAGCTAGTATCGATATGTTTCAATCATACTATCATAATGGAAATGTCTATGTGTGGACTATCTCTCACCCCGGCCCTACTCTCCATTTTCAGCTCGTTGACAGGTAGACGCCGTTCCCACACCATTTGAGTAACCTGCCTGCTGGACGAGCTCAACAGCACGATAAGTGGCGCAATAACACAATTTATTTCTAACCTCAAAACCTGAATGGCTCGGTGGCTTAGTGGTAAAGCGTGTGTTTGCAGTGCCTAAGATCCGTGTTCGAATCACCGTCGAACCTCTTTTTGCCTTTTTTGTTTTCCTACTATATCGCCATTTACACCTTTTCTTTAAAAGCTTCATGCCAATATTACTTTACATCCTGTCACCTCAGTACGTATACCTGAAATCCACAGTGCGTTCTAGTAATCTGAACCCTTGTTTTTGCTGGTTGTTTGCGAAGAAGAAGTAAGAGGTGAAGATGGCCACGATGCCGATAATGATGATGTGGCTCCCGATACTAACCCATATGGCGGTGATATACCGTGGAGCCTCGGGTTGGCGCACGATGAAGGAGCCTGCGATACCGCCGAGGCCGTTGCAGGCTGTTATTGCGGCAGCGAAGGTCGCGCGCTTCCATTGACCGACGATGTTGGAGGCTTGATATGCGTTCACTTTGTTGAGGTTAGCAGTGACTTTTAGAACAGGCACTGTTATCTAAATGGGGAACCCACTGGCTGCCCAGTTGCTGACATATGCTCCAGTCGCCAAATAGGTTCCCGCGTATCGTACGGCATTTTGCGATGCGAAACCCAGCATGGAGAACCCGACGACGGTGCATATACAGTTGAATGTGATGACAAGACCCCGGAGCTGAAGGTGATCGCCCACGATCGAACTGATAACCACAGGTATAACAGCATAGAAGTACGGTGGAGCTGAGAGGAGAATGGCCTGGTCGGTAGAGAAGCCCATACCTGACTGTAGGATGATGGGAAGGAAGTATGAGAGAGATGTTGAAACCAAATTAAGGCCTATGTTACTGGTTAGTAAGTGGTCTATGAGTCATGAGACATGGGGTATGCTCTTACAGAAGAAAAGAGCACAAAATCCGTAGATTTTCAGATCCTTGAAGTGGACGAGACATTTTGACCAGGCGAACTCTTCGGCTTTGACGTCACCGCGATCTTCTGTGATGCGTGCTTCAGCTAATGCCTGCTCGTCGGCGGACAGAAAGTGAAAGCTGTGGTGCGAGTTTTCCGGGAAGTCAACAATCCAGAAATACGTCAGCACTCCGATCACTAAAGTCGTCAGAGAACTGTGAGAACATAATCTGGGGGAGAGTACCAATAGCAAGCAGGCCCTGCACGAGAAACATCCATCTCCATCCGGCCAATCCCCCCTTTCCATGTAACTTATTCAGTCCGAAATTCAAGAATCCTCCCAGCCCGACCACCGTCACTTCCCCGGACTGCAGAAACGCATAGCGGAGTTGCTGTTCTTTTCTCGTGTACCACGTGCTGATGAGGTAGCTCAAGCCAGGAAAGATGGCAGATTGTGCTATACCCAAGAGGACACGCATTCCTATCATTTGTCTCCAGGTGGTTATGAATGCCGTACACTTCTTCTCTCAGCTTGCGAAGTAGATTAGAAGAGGAGGGAGACGTACTAGAGTGATGACACCGAATCCAATAGTTATTGCCGAGAACATGACTCTGGGACCTAGCCATCGTACCGCTATCGTGGCTGGGAGTTGAAATGTCACGGAGGCGACGGTATATACTAAGATTGAGACTGACTAGCTCATATATCAGCACCCTCGGCCCAGTACCTGAGTCCTGGGGATGGGAGACTCTACATATCTATTGCCGCTCCCTAGATCTAGATCCTGAAAGATAGTAGTGACACTTGCTGCACTGATGATCCCCGAATCCTAATCCAAAAACCATTAGCTTACTTCTTACAATTCTCAGGTAGTTTTTTTTTCAACATAGAATAGCCTGAAGAAAATTAGGCCGAGGATAAACGAACCAGGAGATTCAGCGAACACAATATTCCCGCAATAGTACACAGCCGCATATCAATCTTCCGCAACAATCTTTCCTCCATCTTCTCATCCCTCTCCAAAAGCTGATTCTCAGGAAGATAACCAACACCGTCACCTCGCGATGGCGGTATCTCGTCATCTGACAAATCCACCCTCATTGTATTCTTCATTTTCTTTACAATTTTGCAGTGCTGAAAGATCAATCAAATAGACAAGACTAAGAATAAACAAACAAACAAGCAACGCAGGGGTAAAAATATTAAAACAGCCCGCTCTCCGAAGAGAATGGAAAGGTGACACATATTAGTCAGTTAATAGGAAATGCTTACATTATCAAGGGAAGTGAAGTGAGTCTAGCCAGAACATAAAAGTGGGGTTTCGGCACTCCGCCGGGTCTCCTTGAGTCGAGATACGCAGGAGGCAAGGAAACGGCGCTTTAGCCGACATGCGATAAGGTGGAATGTATAGCCGGAGTATCTACACCGAGAACTAACTCATCGCGACTTAAGGCTGTGCATATGAGTGTAAACCAATCGGCCTAGAATTAGCCCACATAAGTTAATGAGGGACGTTCACCAGCATTCATCACCAACCAAAAGATAAAAAATTGTATTTGAGAGACTCAAATGAAGGTCATGCTCGCTGAATGCTGTGTGTTACAATACATTATCGACTGCCAAGTAAATATGAACATCTTAAAAATCATCATCCTCACTCCCTTGTCATTCTCCTAAGATTGGCTTGCCAGGAAATTAGCAGCCTAATCAAAGTCAGCAAAAGACTCATCATACTGGTGTTCTTAAAGACTTACTCTTTCCAAGTTATAGTCATATTTCTCCAAGGCGGCTAACGCTTCGGAACGCTTATAGCCCATTCCCGTTAGATTCTTTAGGATTGGGTCGTCATGCACTCCAGCCTCTGTGAGAGCTCTGCCAATCACAGGTCTCTCAGGAGCAGCGGATGAGATGCTGTTATTCTCCACGGGTTTCGCAGGCTCAGGGGTTGATGTAGTAGCAGGGGCATCTAGGCCAGCAAAGATCGCGTCCCAATCATTGTTGTCATGCACTGCAGTGTTCGCTGGAGCTGTAGGCTGCGTGGCTGGAGATTGTGTATACTCGCCAAAAACATCGTCAGCACCTCCAAAGTGTGAGGTGTTGATCTGACTGGGCTGCTCTGCAGGTTTTGCGTTCTTCGCTGGTGGAACTGGGGGGCTGTCGAACATGGGATTAAAATCGTCTAATCCAGATCGGTCGTGGACGGAGATATTGGCGAAGTCGTCATCGGCATCCCCTTCCTTAGCATCTTCCAAGTCCTCGAAATCATCAAAATCGTCATCAAAGGGAACCTTAGCAGGAGCTGGTGGAGGAGCAGCCTGAGTTGTCACTGCAGGGGAAGATCCAAATGGTGACTGAGCCGGGGCGGTCGCGCTCTGAGAAGTTACTGTAGGAGAAGACCCGAAGGGTGATGGAGCTGTCGCGAAAGTCAGATGACTTGACTGCGATGTCCCCGAAGTTGGCTCAGCGGACGCCGTTGGTGGAGAAGTTGGGTCCTCGCGCTTTGGAAGAAGGCCAGAGTACTCCTGGACCTCTGATTGAGCACGCTCAGCGGAAGTAACAGTTTTGTCATATGGTGGAGGTGAAGTCTGTGCCCCAGGAGTTGGGGGCGAAGAGATCGTAGAGGTGTTGTGGGAAAGTGCAGGTCGCGACTCAAGTAGATCCTTTGCATTTATTCCATTTGTAGCTGTTGATTCTGTAATTCCTTGTGTTGAGCTGGCATTTCTAGTATGGCTGGGGGACCCAGGAGCAAAGTCATCATCAAAGCCACCAGCATCGCTCGTACTATCGCTGTCATCATCATCATCCAACTCGGCTATAGGAGGAAATTCCTTGTTAAAGCCACTTGCAACAGCTGAAGAAGATCCTTCATTGGTAGAACTTCCCGTATTGGAGCGTTCTTGGGGTTTAGCCGAATTTCCAAACCCAGCGAAGGCAGCATCGAAATCGTCTTTAACATTCCCTACAGGCTCTTTAGTGATAGCGAAGGGCGATGCAGCGGCTTGTTCGCTAAGAGTTGAGCCTCCCGTGGGCATATCTAGGATCTGAGAGTTAGGGTCGCCTGGGAATGCTCCTGGGATAGAATCTTTATGTTGGAAATCAAAAGCCGCTGGGGAAGCATTTGATTTACGGTCAAGGCCTGGTGAAGTGGCTCTTACACTATCGGCAGAGCCTCCCAAATTAGATGATCCAGTAGGTGTTGCACCAATGTAGTTGGTGGGTGTTTCTACACCAGTAGAGCCTTCACCGAATCTGCTATTTGGAGCAGAGACTTGGCGTGATGAGCTTATAGACTCATTATGGGCTGGAAATGGCAAGAAACTGGAACTCAATTGTCTTGACTCTGGTGGTGGCGGAGGTTCATTTGTTTGTGGAAGCTCACGTAGTGCTGCTGAAGGTGATCCCGCTGGGGAGGGAAGACCACTCCCACTACTAGAAAGCGCTCTAGCTGGAATGGTTGAGGTTGATCCTGCAAGCGAACGTGTCTCGCTATCCTGTTTGAACGAGGCTGGTGGAGCCGAAGATTCGTTAGCCACGGCTGCGGCGCCGAAGGAAGGGCCAAAGACATTCTCAAATGATTGATCTTGTTGCGACTGAGCTGATGGCGAAACATACGGAGACGACACTTCATTTGAGCTATCCTTCCGCCTGAAGAAAGGATTATTGGCACTCATGGTAGAGAGAGCAGGACTAGCAACCTGAGGGGGACTCTGAACTAGAGCGGCTGCAGCAAGCTCCTTTTTATCATCCTCAATGCTCTTATTCAGTTCTACTGCCTCCGTTTTCAGTTTTTCTCGCTCGCCTTCATTGGTAGCTAGCTGTTTCTTGTTGATTGCAACTAGGCCCTTCTGTTGACGAGCATCTGACCTCAATTTTTCCAATGCTGGTTTCATCTGCGCGATCTCTGCATTAACAACTCTCATGCGATCTTTCAAGCTTGCATTCTCTTGCTGATCTGCTTGTAACGCGGCGAAAATCTGTTGATGCTGAGTTTGTAGGTCTTTGTAGGTGCCCTCAGCCATCGCAATCTCAGTCTGCAACTTCTTCGTCTCATTCCGAGATGTAATAAGGCGTTCCTCTAGACTCTTTACGTCTTTAACTTCTTGTTCATACAGAGAGCGAAGCTGGGCCAGACGCAGCTCAAACTCACGCTTCTGGGAACTGGCTTGGTTTAGCTCATTCTGAGATGTAGCGCGCTGG